GCACGGACCAGCGAAGCATACGTCGAAACCATTGTGTAAGGCGAGTTACATGTATTGGATGTCGACGCTGGCGAGCTCGAATGTAACAAGTCCATCCACGGGCCAGTGTTGACGGAGCATGACCACGTGAGAGCAAACGGCGGACAAGCATGGTTGCTGCCGTTTTGAAATCATGCCAATTGTCACAGATTTGCTCAAACCGCATAAGCTGGCCAGTGAACACACCTGCAGGCTGATGAGATGGAATGTTCGACGTTGCACTAGGMTATCGTATAACAGGAAAATCCCATGCAACGGTCTTATCAAACACACTCAATCTGAGAGATCCGTCTGCTCGTGTCTGCAGTTTCGCACCTAAGAAGGTGCACGAGCCATCTGCCGCAGTGGTCTCCTTCCATTCAAGACCATAATGGGTTGATGATGGTGGCAGACAATCAAAGGTAAGAACATCATCAATGAACCGATATGTAAAAGCATATCCGCGAGCAGCAGAGGGATCCACACGCTGCAGGTTGTCCACGTACTGCGCCTCATCCCAATAGAGTGTAAGATTGGCAATCTCAGGACCAGCGTTTGTACCCATAGGGATACCGACATCTTGATGACGAACAAGGCCATCCGCTGTATACAAATATGTATTTGTAACAATAAACCGAAGATGTTGAAGAATGTCAGAAACAGAAAGAGTGTCAGGTCCCGTATCCGTAGTCCATTCCCCTGCACGGKGTCCACGGACCAGCATACGACGAGCAACACCCGATGAGCGTGTCTGTGTATGCTGCCGTACCTGTGCAAGAGCGTAGGCATGCGCCTCATCAACGGCATTAGCMACATTGTCAAGAATTCGTTGATGAGAAAGATTAGTATACATAGTAGTGAAATCAACTGTATGTGGGGCCAGACCTCTAAGAGAAGCTTTATTCTTTTTGAGGTCAAGCATGACCTCGTCACTGCTCTGAACAATCCAACATCGTCGAATACCTTCGGTTCGAAAGAGTTGATTATCTTTTTCGCGAAGAGTACGGATGACGCCTTGAAGTGCTGTACTCAAACGAGCCGAAGTAGGCGTTGTACTAGCTACCTGCTTGTGAGGCGGTCGGTGATGCAAACGCTGGACTCGTTGGGAAGGGTGCAGGTCACTTCACCGGGCCGTATGGGAAGAGGAAGAAGAAAGATTGTTTCGGGCAGTGATACCAAGAATAGGACAGAGTGTGGGAGGAGATTTATGGGCCTTAAGAACACAGTACAGATACGGCAATGTGTCAGCATGAGGATAATTCCAATGATTGTTCCGAACTGCATGGCTATTCAGAATGTCAGCCACTGATTCAGCAGGCCGAGATACGTAGTACTGTCAAGGTGGCTTGACAGTTTGAATTTGTACCAATTTTTACAGCAAATAGCCAAATTATGTGATGTTTTGTCCACAGGAACAATCGCAAAGGATTCTTGAAGCTGACGCAGGGCCGTATGCGCGTGCCGCAAAGAGCGAGGCTGTCGCAATGGTGATGCGGTAGTCATGTTGCACTCACAGTGACGCAAGACTGCAGCACGCCAATTAGCCAATTGTGGGGCTAGGGTAGCAGCACAGGATTGTCGTGCTGTCGGACGAAGATACGCAGCAATATACTCATCAATACCAACAGCCAATGCTTCAAGTATATGTCCCACTACCCCATTCAGCCGATATTTTGAGCCCTCATAGAACAGGCGACGAAGGTTAGCATCCGGAATCAGATCATAGTTGGCGGAAACAACATGGCCGTCAACCAGATCGGTGCAGTTAGGAAACGCCCGACGACAAGGGCAATCAGCAGCAGCARGTAGGCACAGGTCCGGAGTGACACTCGAGGCCACTTCCGTAAAATTACAGAATTGTACCCTTGTTGGGGGCACGAGTTTGTCACAGATGCAAATGCTGCTAGCTGGCTGGGGGTCGGGGTGTAATGCACACACATCCGGAGAATGCAACACATGGCGCAACTTAGTAGCCTTCAGGATCTCATGCATATGCACAATTCTGATGAAGTTTCCGAAGGTGTCACGGGAATGAGCAGTATATCGTTGTCGGACGTGTTGAAATCGCCGAATAAGGCATTCAAGTTCACGGACGTCCRCAGTCATGTCTGCATTAGAAACATTTATATACAGCCATTGCAGCAGGCGAGCTCGCCAAGCGGGCATAGCCTGCTGAATGGAAGCAACAACTTCGGACCAAGAACCCGCTGCGCCTAATGTCAATAACCGCCGTAACGTTGTTCGTACTGCTAGTTGAGGGCCYGGGCTAATATCAATGGTGAAGGCCCGAGAGGAGACGCCAGTTGGAGACGGGTGAGGAGAAACGGCACAATGATGAGAAGCAGCAGAGGAAGGACCAACTTGCCGCCAGCGATCGGGGTGTGGCTGCCGTCGAGGAGGCGGTAATCGAGACATGGGCAAAACTGCATTGAAGCCCGAAGGGTGCAAGGTTCGCAGCCATCGGACCCAGAAACCCTCTCTAGGTGACGCCGCCCGCCGAAAGAGGGCATGATCAATCTCGCCGCGATCAGTTATGTAGAGCGCACGATCAATACATTCGAGCGGCCAAACAGCAAAATTGAAGGGAGTGTTGTCACATGACGTGATAGAGGTGCCGATGACGATAATCAACAGCAGTATGTCGCACATGCCAGTGCTCCTTCAAACGTTGATGAGCAGTATGGATTGTCTGGCCAACATAGAGACGCCCASAGGRTATATGCACAACAGCATAAACAACTCCAGTAACAGAAAGCGGATCATTGCCTGGCTGGAGCAGCTGCTGGTCGATACCTCTCAGCTGTAGTTCAAAGCGCTCAGTTGCGGTGACAGTATGTAGACAGCGCAATTGCTTTTTATGCCAMGTTCCCGCGGAATACAAATCAGTATTCCAGCGATAATGGGCAAGCCAGTCAACGCGTTGCCGGTTAGAGAAAGGGGGATTGTGGCCCCGTGAACGAAGAGAAGGAAGCGGTGCTGTGCCTGTCGCACCACCAACAGGAAGAGTCCCGAATGAACTAACCCCCTGATTTATCTGTAATGGTAACGACATGTTTTTGTTAAAGAGAATTATGAAAGTTTTCTAATTTTTTGAGTTTTGAAATTTTTTGTTTTTTATTTTTTATTTTTTATTTTTACTCGGTACAGCAAGTGCCCAGGAAAGCAGGACTTTAGGCCCGATGGCTCAGGCCGGGAAACCTGCCATCGTCCTTTCTGCATCCACAGAAAGGTGAGTGGGCATGGGGGCAGCAACCCGGATTTGGCAGACCTTAGGCTGGTCTGCATCCACAGAAAGGTGAGTGGGCATGGGGGCAGCAACCCGGATTTGGCAGACCTTAGGCTGGCCGTAACTATACCCACTACACGGGAAGGGGGGACAACCCATGTCCTTGCGGTGACCGCCATCACAACAATCCTGGACACCATTGAGAAGGGAAAAGAATGTCACAGCACCATGTTTCTTCGCAGGTCACACCCTAACAGGCAATCACAAAACATGAACACAACCTCTAAATATAATCAAGAGTCAAGTTAAACGGAACCACAACAGAGGGCCCGCAATATACAGATGCCGTCCCACATTGGGAGGCGGTGGCTAGCAAAGACAAAAAAGAAATAAGAAGGGGAAGAAAAAGAAACAGAAACAGAAAAAGAAGGAGAAGAAAAAGAAACAGAAACAGAAAAGGAAGGAGAAGAAAAAGAAACAGAAACAGAAAAATAAGGAATATGAAAATTAAAATCTGCCATAAGAGAAGGCATGCGCCTGCTAGTACAGGCCCGACGCTAGCCGCATCATCTGCAAGAGCAGAGAGCTAGCAACGTMGGAGTATATATTGTCACATTGTGAATCAGAGCGCAAAAAAGGGGAAAGAAAAAAGGAAAAGGAAAAAAGGGGGAGGGGGAAGAGGTAAGGAAAGCTCCACCTGTTCATAACCTCTTATGTACAAGGCCAGCCACGTGGATGACAAGTTGAGCGCTTGCTGCCCCCATCCCCGTGTGTCACAAGGACCCACTTGCACGCAGCCAAAAGGCAAAGAGGTAAAGAAAGGGAGGAGGAAACCAAACCTGACAGGGAAAGAAAGATAATCCAATTATCACAAAGCAAATAACACATCCCCATATATCGTCACAAATAGAACTGCCCGGTAATATATATATTCACAATGTGACAATATATATATATATAATACACCTAAAAATAGACGAGCGGAAAGCATGCTCCCACTACACCAATCAACCAACAACCAATCAATCAAAAAAGCGATTCACATCAGTAGAAGCATATCATACAACAACAGGGTGAAAAAAAATAAAACCAAAATACCTACAACATGTGCGTTATACTATTACCCCCTTCCCCGCCCCCTCCCCATACACACACACACACACGCACACACAAACATATGAAGTAACATCAACGCCTTCTCTCCTGTCGGGATGAGCCACACACGCCGCCTTCGATTGCATCCTGATGCAGCTCTGGATGCCAACACTCGACACAATCCCGCCCAAATAAAAAGTAAAAAAAGAAAAGAAAAGAAAAACATAATCCCACCCATTCCATGGCAGATAGCATGATCCTCCTCCTCGATGTGCGGGCTATGACTAACAGAACTAGAAAGAAACAAAATAACGATGTCAACGCTAACGTCGATCTTGTTTCCACTTTCTCCTCACACATGGTGGGGGGGGGGGGGGGGGGGGGGGGGGGGGGGGGGGGGGGGGGGGGGGGGGGGGGGGGAGGCGGGGGTCAAGGAGGAGAAACCCTTGCCAGACCGCGCTGGGACCTCAATAGCAATTCATGCAGACGGCGAGGTGTCGCCCAATTGCCCTATGCTCTAAAGCTTACAAACGCATCAAGCCTCGAACAACCTTCGCTATCTACGCTCTCTCTCTCTCTCTCTCTCTCTCTCTCTCTCTCTCTCTCTCTCTCTCTCCTCCCCCCCCATAATGACGAGTGGCCCTATCGTTGGCATCTAATCTCCTACCGCTAAACGATCCGTGCTATCGGATCCTCTCTCTCTCGCTCGCTCGCTCAAACACACACACACACACACACACACACACACAGAGCACAATGTATTACAACACGTGCGGCTCAATACAACAGGCATTGCATCGCCCATATGCTCAGACAACGATTACTGCAGACAGCACCTGACTATCTCACCCCCAACCCTCGGAACATCCTGTCTACATTTGCTCTCTCTCTCTCTCTCTCTCTCTCTCTCTCTCTCTCTCTCTCTCTCTCTCTCCGCATTTACAGAAAACGTCATTTTCCGCAGACACCCTCTTCCTCTACCCAATCGTGCCATGCGAAAGGGGAGAGCGAGAGAGAGAGAGAGAGAGAGAGAGAGAGAGAGGAGAGGCGGGTCACGACGACACAAGGAGGCGCGATGACGACGACAAAACTGTCGCAAGCGTGACAGTTTCAAGCGGGTTTGAAGCGAGCGACCCCGACCGTGCCTCGTACTCTGCGTCAGTGCAGACGACCAACGACCGGTTAGCATACTTCACAACAGCGTCCCTCAACGTGACACCTGGCAAGATGGGCAGCGGGAAACCCTTTTTCAAATGGAAATTAATCGCGGGAACAATTATCCCTTTGACCACAGTCCGAACCACGGACTGGATCACGGACACCGGAATTCTCCCAATATTGCTCCACTTTTGAGTCAGTTTGAGATCATCCAGCGACGCTCTGCCCGTGATATTATTGCCGTCGATCTCCGCCACTCCTTCAATCGCGACCGTCATCCCCAAGCAGGCAACCGACACAGCATCGTCGTCTGCAATGCCTCGTCGTCGTCCATCAGTCACCATCGCCATCGCCATCTCTCTTGATAATCTTCTTCCTCTTCCGTCTCCTTCTCCTCTTACTGCACTTCGCTTTCCTCTCTCTATTCTCAACCCGAATTCCTCTGTTCCTGCCCTTCTTCTTCTTCTTCTTCTTCTCTCCACGTCTCTCCTCTCCTCCTCCGCTTCCATCGCTGTTCTTCGTTCTCTTCCGTCACCTTCTTCTCCTTCCCCTTTCTCCCTCCTCCCCCGTCCTTCTCCTCCTCCACCTTCTCCCTTCTCCTCCTTCCCCTTCTCCCTCCTCCCCCTTTCTTCCTCCTTTCTCCCTCCTTCCCCTTTCTCCCTTTCTCCCTCCTTCCCCTTTCTCCCTCCTTCCCCTTTCTCCCTCCTCCCCCGTCCTTCTCCTCCTTCACCTCGTATTCTGCTTGTCTCGTCCACGTCCACCTCTCTTCCTCCTCTTTCCTTCACAAGCACTTGTTCTCCCTTCACAACTCCCTCCTCCTCCTCCTCCTCCTCCTCCTCCCCTAGCTCTGTTTGTGTAGCGTTTGCCACTTGGATTGTCAAATCCGTTTGCACCTCCGCTTTGATCCCCTCCTCCCTCAACAAGACCACAGGCGGCGAGGTCACCATCACGTCCAGATGGATGGCCCTATTAGGATACTTGAGATACAGCTGGGGGAGCATGAATCGCCAACTACTTGTGTTCAGCCGGATGGGGGACTTGTCCGGCAATTCGTCCACAGACCAATGGAAGGATCCAGAGGCGTGATATACCGCAGAGGCGGAGTTGAGTACGAACTCGCTAAGCGCAACAGTGACCATCTTTTCCACCTCCCCGCATGCCGTCGCAAGCCGCGGAACCTGCGCCGGCGGCGGCGGCGGCGCATCCCGGGTGCCGCCGCCGCTGCCGCCGCCGCTCACGCTAACGAATTCCCCCTTCGTCCCGACTGACAGGTACTCGGGTTGCATTGTCGGGTCGGAGACGATGGTCACATCAATCGCTGCCACGTCATCGATCGGAAGCCGACGTGGCAAGCCCTGCACGTAGGCGTCAAGCTTGCCCACTGACGCGATTACCCCTTTGGTTATCGCGTCCTGGACCGCCGACTTGATCTTCTCCGAGAAGCTCCTGATGAACCAATTATACAGCCAGGAGACGCCGCCGTGCATCTCGATCTGCAAATCTTCGATGAAACTTCCGCACTCTATCACCGAGATGACCAGCGTGCCGTTGAACTCCGTCATGGTGAACGTCACGCCAGACTGCATGCCGTGCAGCGTGATGTCGGCCGTCCCCTCGTCGCCGATCGGGATCGGGATGTAGGGATTGGACAGCGAGTACTTCCACTCGAGCGACACGTGGGCTAGAATCCCCGCCCCGAATATGGTGACGGACCCGGCGCTCAGGTCGACGGCGGACTCCGGCACGTCGAGCGAGGAAACGACTATGTTGTGAAGCGTCGCATCCGCTTCGCCAAACTCCGCCGCCGAGGAGGTTCTCAGGTCTGGCACGCGCAGGGGAATCATGTCCTTCAACACTTCTTCAACTAACACCTCTTTCGTGTAAGTCAAACCCTTCTGGGTCAAAGTCAACGCGATCCCTGGAGATCCACCATCCCCTCCTCCTCCTGCTCCTCCTCCCCCTTTTCCTTGTCTTCGTGCCGCAGTCGGCCATGATACTCGCTTGCCGCCAAAGCCTGTTCCAGATGGAAACCTGGCAGCAGCTGCAGCAGCGGCGGCAGCTGCCACGTGTCGACGACCTCCGCTTCGACCGCTGCTTACATCGCCGCCCGAGCCTGGAACGGGATCTACACCAGGAACAGAATCCAAACCTGGAACGGAAACTAAACCAGGAACAGTGTCGTCGAGGACAACAGTCGCAACAACACCATCACCATCCCCAGCTCCTACGGGTCGATGACCTCCACGTCTACCGCTGCTTACATGGCCGAACGAACCTGGAACAGAATCCAAACCTGGAACAGAATCTAAATCTGGAACATAATCTAAATCTGGAACAGAATCTAAACCTGGAACGGAATCCAAATCAGTAACGTTGTCGTCAAGGACAAATGCAACAACAACACCATCACCATCCCCAGCTCCTACGCGTCGATGAGCTCCACTTTCACCACTGCTTATATCGCCGTCCGAACCTGGAACACGATATAAACCAGGACCTGAATCTAAACCTGGAACAGGGCCTTCCAGGACAGTAGCAATAACAACAGTATCATCCACTCCAAGCGTGACTGATACAGCTGCTGGGCCAGTCGGTCGGCCGTATCGATGTCCGCCATCGCCGCTTGGGTCCACGTCTGGTCCTGGTCCAAAATTGAGGAAGGTCGGGACACCGGGACCACCATCCTCTGCTCGCCATCTCTTTGCGCCCCAACTACTGCTACTACCGGTAGTAGCTAAGCCACGACCGGTAGTAGCTAGACCAAGTGTTGACCAAGAAGATTCCTTGGCATCGCCACCAACACCCCCGCGACTGCCACCGTAGGCCCACGTCTCAACATCAGCACCTGGCTCCGGGCCCCTACCAGGAACACGATCAGGACCCGCGGGAACAACCCGCCGCAAGTGGGCTCCTTCCCACCACCCACCCACCACCTCCATCGCCTTCCTGCCATCGCCATCATTATTAACTTCGAGGCCGTGAGCATGGCTGACGAAATGGCTGTCGCAGATACCAGCGAAGACAGAAAGGGTGAGAGGGAGACGCAGCAGGAAGGAAACAGGACGACACGTGGACATCGTTTTTGCCGTCGCAGCTGGCATCCGTCGCCGTCCCGGTCGCGACGACCATATGCGGACCACCATCGCCTTTACCAGCCTCCTCTCTCACCGTCCTCGCGCGGCCACTCCCGCACCGCACCGCACCGCACCGCGCCCAGTCTGTCCGGTTGCGTCGTTTCGTCCGCCCGCCCCCCTTGCGCGCTCGCGGCCAGCTATCCCGCTTGCGCCCCTACTTCGCACGTTGACGTCCACGAATAATCATTTCGTCCGCCCGTTCCCCCTTACGCGCTCGCGGCCAGCTATCCCGCTTGCGCACCTACTTCGCCCGTTGACGTCCACGAATAATTATGCACCGCCGCCCCGCTACCATCACCCATCGCCTGTTGGTTGCTGGCCGTATAAATATAAATGCACACCAATTGTTTTTTCCCTATTCCGAACGACACATCCTGATGGATTGCTAAATATACATCGTCATGACTTGAAGAAGAAAAAAAGTACACTAATCTGACAGCCCTCTCCACGCAATTTCCTGACATGCGATGGCGATTCATTGCTCCCCGCCTTCAAAATTTCGTGCTAGATTGGGCCTCGCTGCACTACTCTCGACATGCACAAAAGACAAAAATCATGGCCGTGTATCTTTCCATATTCTAGCGGAAGATTCACTCTCCTTTTGCACATTTCGAGAGTAGTGCAGCGAGGCCCATTAGGGGCACCGCCAGAATTTCCTCTATCTATCTGACAGCCGTGTCCACGTACGTCGTCCGCCCATGAAACGACGTGTCCCGTACGAAATAAAATAAATCGATATAACAAAGGAACATAACGCAAATATATATATAAACTCCGACGAAACAGTTTGTCACAGCCCCTCGTTTGTTGTCCTCTTCTCCCTCTCTGCCTACGGTTTACCGGGCAGTTCTATTTGACGATATATACCGACGAAACAGTTTGTCACAGCCCCTCCTTTGTTGTCCTCTTCTCTCTCTCTGCCTACGGTTTACCGGGCAGTTCTATTTGACGATATATATATATAGAACTGCCCGGTAAACCGTAGGCAGAGAGGGAGAAGAGGACAACAAAGGAGGGGCTGTATATATATCGTCAAATAGAACTGCCCGGTAAACCGTAGGCAGAGAGGGAGAAGAGGACAACAAAGGAGGGGCTGTGACAAACTGTTTCGTCGGAGTTTATACGAATGAATACGACGAATGCAATTTCAAATGCAGACCAGATTTGTTTTGTATTACGGTCCGTTGAAGAAATCTTCATCTTTGGAGGGCCTCTTTGGTCATCGTGTCGTGGTGACACACGGCCCGTAAAAATGAAATGAAGCGAAACACAAACAGAGAAAAGCAGGCAGGGGTAGTACACCCAAGGGCCGGGTGGACCCACTACCGCTTTATTGCATACTTGGGGGGGGGCGGGGAAAGCAGGCTTACGTTTCTCTTTGAGAGAGAGAGAGAGAGAGAGAGAGAGAGAGAGAGAGAGAGAGAGGACCACAATGGCTGCGGCGCCAGCCTAAAAAGATATAAAAGGAGCAGGGCTGGACGAAGTAGGTGGCGGCGCCGTAGCGCTCAAGACCTACGACGCGCGCACTAAGGAGTTAGGTTTTCTCAAACGCGGGGCTTACCCGCCATATCCCGGTGTGCGTAGCAGGGGGGAGGTGGCTCACTCAGCTGTCGACTGTAGAAGACAGTTGAGCATGAGCAAGACGGGTTTGTCCTTGGATGGGGAATGAGGGTGGGTCTTGGGAGCGGGGAGTTCTGAACGAAGCAGCAGATAGAGTCTACATGAACACACCTGAATATGCAAGAACCGAAGAACGCTGATCTACAGCGTCCTTCTCATGGAACATGTGGAGTGGTAGTCTAAGAGGGTTATACTAGCGCGGGAGATCTATAGATCAACAGAGTACTTTGCCGTCTCTGGATCTACGGCGAGAGGGGCGTGGATCCGAACGAGAAAGTGAACGGGAATCTGGGCTTGGTTACTGTTGGCTGGAGTACCAAGGGCTGGATTTGGTATGGGAGAAACCTAACAACGAAGATCCGAGAGTTGCTCTGCGGCTCAAGGGGGTCGTGTTCTGATGATGGGAACAGGATAAACGACCTTCACACCAGACAGTACGGTGAGTTCTCCTTTCACCGTTTGGAGACACCTGGGATCTCTTGCGTTATGGGTGTGTCGTTACAAGTGTGCTGTTACAGGAGCTTCTATACTAACCATAGGTACTTACCTTATCCGTACTTACCTTTTTTGTAGGACAGCTAACGTGAGACCTTGCCCTTTTGATGACAGGGAAGACAGCTGGTTGTGGTGTATTCCCTCGAGTGAGTCGCTGCCATCTTTTCCTTTACGAATGCTATATGGTCGGCTTTTGTCCTTTCCCATTTCTGGAAACTTTCGAGTGGTTGATCTCCTCGATTACTAGGGTAGATTAAGATTGATACGCCTAGATTTGTCGATGGAGAGTTGTTTAAACCAGGATATACTATGGTTTCAGATCCGTTGTACACTTGCAGAAGGGGCGAGGAACGTGTGTGTATTCCCCAAGATTGCAACCTAAGAACAATCTTTATGTCAGAGTGTTATGGTGCTCGTGGTAATTTTGGGGCCCTCAAATCCTATGCGGTCCTGTCGCGAAGGTTCTTCTGGAAAGAGATGAGGAGTGACCTGTTGCAGTATATCAAAGGAACAAGGTTGTACACATACCCCCCCTCGGCCTACTCAAACCACTTCCCACCCCTGAGGCACCTGCACATTCAGTGTCTATTGACTTTACTGATTTGGGTAGGACCACTCCCCGTGGTATGCGTCAAGTTATGGTTTGTGTGGACAGGTTCTCCAAACATGCAAAATTCATCCATTTGCCAGCAAAAGCCAGAGTCTCTGACGTGCAGGCAGCATTTGCTGACAGGTGGGTTACACACCATGGACCACCCACCTCGATTGTCAATGACCGAGATCCCCGTTTCCGCAGCAATGAATGGCAGTCATATTGCAAGGACTACCTTCATTCACGCCTTGATATGACATCTGGTCGTCATCCTGCAGCCCATGGACAGGCTGAAGTGATGAACACTATCTTATTTCAGCTCCTGCTTCCTGTGGTCAGTCCAGATCAGCAAGACTGGGATCTACATTTGAATCGTGCACAGCTTGTGTATAACATGTCTGTCCACTCCTCCACTGGTTTCACACACTATCGGTTATACTGGGGTCGTGAACCACGACAACCTCTCGATGACATCATCGACAAGGTTACCCCTACATTAACACCTGGACTGCAGAACTCACCAGACGCTATCAGATAGATATCGAGTGCGCCCGTGCCGACCTTCTCAAAGCCCAAAACACTACGATTCAGGAGGCTAACAGGCACCGTCGTCCCTCTACCATTCGCACATGTGACTGGGTTTGGGTACTCAGTTCTGAGTTGTCATGCAAGGAGGATATTTCACCTAAGTTGCCACGATACATGGGTCCATGGCAGGTTTTAGATACAGTGGGGGTTGATCCATTTGGATCATCATATATTGTTGATGTCCCTCTGCATCTATAAACCTATCCGGTCTTCCGTGCATCTAAGTTGTTGCCTTTCACCTCAGCTGATGCATTTCCGGACGGACCCCCTCAATTTGGTTCACCGATCCCTTGCAAGGGATATGAAGTGGAATGGATTGAGGATGAGATGGGCACAGGTCCAGATATGCAATATCTTGTGAAGTTTCTGTATCAGCCTCACACTGAGGATAGCTAGTTCACACGGAAGGAACTCCTCAAGACAGCAAAGTCGGTTGTCCTAAGATACGAGGCAACCAAGAAGGGTCAATCCCTTCAATGTTCTGCTCGTCTACACCCCTAGCTCGGAGGTCCTCGCTCCGGGGGAGGGTAGGTCTACAATGACTTGCTGATTCTGCAGCCTGCGGCCCATCGAACCGAGGCTGTAGCATAAGTAGGGCAGATTCATAATTTTGTTTTTGCTGTGTACTAGCCGGGAAACTAGCCTGTGGGGAAATATGTGAGGGACATATCTGCAAATTCGGAAAACTAACAGACCCGCACTAATCCTATTTCCCTATAGTCACCTTAACTACGAATAGAAGGTCTGGGCTACCACATGGACAGACAGGCCTAAGGGCCTATGCTGATAGACTGGTCCTATAGCCTACAGTCGGGTAAGGAGAGGCCCTAGAGACCGAAAGTGAAACGATACCAGTTGGCTTAGTAGGTTTGGTCTAGGTCGAGTCTAGGTTAGAGTAGATCTATTAATAGAATGAGGGAATCTGTTCGTTTTTTTTTTACGATTGACAAACTCGGCGCAGAAAGAAATTACATCACGACGGCGCAACGTGTGAACTGAAGTGGTGATAGCTTCAACGTTGGAGAAGACAGATATAGCCAGACCCTCAAAGCGTCGGCCATAGTTGGGTCCTTGGCTGTTCTCTGGCAGCACGTGGGGCTGCTCAGAGGTCTGGGCTATCGGAGGTCTGCTGGAAGTAACAGTAGTCGGTGCCTTGCAGAACCCTCCTCAAGAGTCGGATCCAGGGTGGTGGCACTGCAGCCATAGCTGCAACTTACAGCCTCAGGGATGTCCTTTGTCAAGAAAGGTGGAGCTGCTACAGATCTTCGCTTGTGAAATCATCTGGCATTTTATCTTCATCAGAGACTGTGGTGCTGGTCTTCTTTTTCATCCTCTGAGAGGCGTTTGGCCTCAACGGTCCGTTTCAGGGTGACGCTTCCCTCTGGAGGCAGTATTTGGGTGGTGCTGGTTGTTTCAGGGATTCTGGGGTAGTGGACAACGGTTACTCTGGGTTGGGGAAGAACGCACCATGTTTCTGAGACTATTCTAGCAAAACGATTATCTAAGTTTAATAAACAGTGTGGATACTGTGTGAGAACTATTTTTGTTTCATTGTTTTCTGGATGCGATCCACTCGACTTTCCTTTGTGTCTGGTCGAGGGGATTCTATGCAGCGAACTGCACTTTCAGTGTGTTCGGTCATATCGCATGGTCAAGTCTTCCACTGTGTTTCTCTCTCTCTCTGTGCGGTGTGATACTCTTATCCTCTCCCCTTCCTTCTGTGTACGCATGGGCATGCATGGGAGTCTATGTGAGCGAGTGTTGGTCTTCTGACAACAAGCAACCAGGTTCATAACAATCAGGTGAAAAAAAGAAAAGAAAAAAAGTGTCCCCACA